AAATGTTTTTTTCACTTTTACTATTTACGGTGACGTAATCACTTTAAGAGCAGTCTGTGGACAACATATGACCTCTGTATTCTGCATTCAGCTTTTAGCTTCTCGCTACATACCTCTGAATACCGACAGTAATCCGACTCTAATTTGGGGTGGGGCAACTTGGTTGGGACTAGTGCAGGATCATACCTAGGTCAGGCCTGGACTAGTGTAATGCAGAATCATATTTGCAGGCAGTATGGAGTACATGTGCAAGTGTATATATATATATATATATATATTATATATACATATATGATCAAACAAATCCTTTAAAATCTTAAACATTTTTATTGATTATCATTCATTTATTATCGATCTTATTGAACACTTATTTAAACTTTTGAGTCGTTCACCGCTAATTTTGATATTTTTATATAAAATTACAGGGTGCGAAATTAACGGGAGTCCGGAGTCAAATACTCTCTGATTTACTGTCAGACTCCCTGATTTGACATATATGCAAGAGTCTGTGTGACTCCCTGAAAATTCTGCCACACTAACTATAGTTTGTTCCGAAGCACGGCCTCGCAGAATTACTGTATTTTTTCAGCTAATGTCCAAAGCAAATTTGGCAGACGTGCAACTGCATGAATCTTAAAAATTAGCACATGCGGTATTGTTTTAATATCTTTAATTTTGAATCTCAGACTGCAGACTCCCTCATTTTGCTGCGGACTCCCTCTTTTTGAGGGTAAGGAGTCCGTTAAACTCCCTTGTTCAAAAGTTAATTTCTACCCCTGAAATTACATTTACCGCTTATACGAATCTGTATTTATAACTCTACAAACTCGTGATAATGAAGTAAATAACCTTGGAGAAAAACTTGCCAGAATGCTTACACATTTCATGCAATTCAATGTACATATAAAGGTACTCACAGCCTTAGTGAAGCATTCCTTAAGTGCAGCGAATTCTCTTGCGCAGTCGTTCTGCGACAAATTGTCCCTTACAGTCACGCACTTGCCATAATCAGTTGCCTACAACAAAAATGACACAAGTTTTGAGAAATTCCCATCAGCCGCAGTGAGTATGTAGCTATGAAAACAAGTAGGTCAATGGCAATCAGTAGCCTAACGCCAGCTGCCGGACTGAATGCCTATACAACCTGCGACACTATCGTTGATTCTCGGGGAAAACACAAATCAATGTCGCACGTGGCCTTTCCACTGATTAGCGTGTAAATCCATAATTAGCCAGCCTCAATAGACAAGTACAGCAAGCCAGACTGATTCACTCGCAGCATCACCTTGATCAAGTCAGAGCAGCTGTGACAAATTTTGTGACCTTTGTTGTCACCAACACCTATGCCTAGCCTGTGTGTTTGAAACGGTCCTATACAATACATGACAGTCTTGAAGCTATAATGTAGGCAGTATATACATGCTACGATACATGAGTCTTGAAGTTGAAGCTATAAAAGTATAAGTATAATGTAGGCAGTATATATACATGCAGATGTACACCATCTATCACGCACAGACTGTTTAGGCCTACTCACTCAGCCACAGCTGTGCTAGCTCTAGTAACTATAGCCCGCTTACAGTTCCTGCTGGTACTGTCTGCCAGCGGCAACTGCACACGGGCTATAGTTACGCTGAGAGGGTCTATGTAGGGTATTCTAACCCTAGCCGTTTTCTTGGAGCTACTGACTCAGTGACAGTACCAAGTCAACGGTTTACCACCCTAATTAAGATATGTCTTTCAACTTGTTTATGTCTAATTCAGCTGCAGAGTATCGTCCAACCGACACCAGCATTTATTTCGGCTTACCTGTTTAGTGCATTTCGTCAAGTGTAGCGGAAACTGGCTAAGTTTTTTTCGAGCACTTTCCAAGGAATTCATCTCGGACTTCAGAAATTGTAGAACATTTCTACCCGAAGAGGGCAACACATACGCTCGGTAGATGCTCTCTTGTCTCAAGTCGCGAATTTTCTCCATTTTCGGAAGCATTTTTGTCCGGTTGCATGACGTAGGAAGGAGGCTCGTAGGATTCTAGGAATTTGCTTTCTGGTTGCGTGTTAACGCTTAACTAGTTAAGCGTCAACAAAACACAGATAGATAAGATACAGTACGTGTCTTGATTAATTATACATTAGTTGTAAGAAGCTATCCATAATCATTCACTTTATTCGTTGTTTCACAATGCATTGCACATTTCGGTTCAAGGATAGAGAACATCATCATGGGTCCCAATAAAACCAATGTAATTTACATCAATATAATAGGTTAGGGTTATGGTTAGGGTTAGGATTAGGGTTAGGGTTAGACTTAGGGTTAGAATTAGGGTTAGGTTTAGGCACATTGGTTTTATTGGTACCCATGTTCTCTATCCTTGGGCCAAACCTAACCCTAACCCTAATTCTAACCCTAACCCTGACCCTAATCCTAACCATAACCCTAACCTATTATATTGATATAATATTATATTTATATTGATGTAAATGACATTGGTTTTCAGTGCTCGAAATAAGCGTTGTCCGGTTGTGTCGAGACAACCAGAATTGCGCCGATTTTCAATATTTTGCATCTGAACTGACAATCAATCCATGCAACCAACTGGTATAGCTAGATAGGCTAGCTAGCACAATAATGTTCAGTTTCATACTTCAAATCCGAGTGTTTTCTAGCTCTTCAAGAAATCTTAATCGTGAATTAAATTGTGAATAATATAAAAATATGGGACCAGTGCTATTTTCCAACACTGGTATAATATCATTGTCAGGTTTTCTGATTTATGAAAGGTGAACTCGATTTGAACCAGCAAACCAGGCAAGTTTCAAAATTTCGGGGGAGGACCCCCATACCCCCGCCTGTTTTTCACCTCCCCTCCTTGGAATCCTAGACCCCGCACTGAAACAATTACATATTTTGGAGCAGAGAAAATGAACAAAATGTCGCCTTTTCGCATGGCGCCAAAACAAAAGATGCAGAGCTGAGAGGTAGGGGAGCCGTAGGGTGTGAGAGGGAGCGGAGGAGCCAGTGTAATATTAAGTCATCCACTATTTTGCGCAGTTCGCTGTTTTTGGCCCCCTTGTTAAAAAATCCTGGCTACGCCACTGTTTTTGGTGTTTTCTGATTATGATTATTATGTGATTGAAAATAGGAGATTTGGGGATTTTTTTTGGGACAACCAGGAAATTGTTGCGGACAAACCCGTTTGATGTGCCGGGGTTGTCCGCAGGACAACCAAATTTTTTTTTCTTATTTCTTGAGGCACTGGTTTTATTAGGGCCCCATGACATGTTCTCTATCCTTGAACGAACTGAGGCCAGAGCACAGGCATTGCTAGGGTGCTCCCAAAAAACGTATTGCTAGGCCTAGAATACGCCTAGTTATTGACGTTAGTCAATTACTATGTTGACGTTAGTCACAAGCCTGGTCGGGTTAAGGCACTTAAAGCGTTTCAATAAACATAGTAATGCTAAATAAATACTGAATTTATTCGCAGTGGCTACGGGTACGCCGTAGCGGTAGCCGTCGGTCGTTGAAGCCCCTTTTTGGCGTTAGGGTTATGGTTAGGGTTAGGCTTCTAGCTATTTCGAAATCTGGCGCCACCGCGCGCATCTTTATCTCGTTAAGTATGAAAGCAAATGGACTCCCGTACCCGTAGCCTCGAGACATTAAGATACGGCTACTGTACCCGTAGCCACTGCCAAATTTATTTACACAAAATTCTTAATGTTTCTATACTCTCTTTCACTATTATTGCCGACAGTTTCCTGTAAATTCGCGTCCAAATCCTATGTGCACAAACACTTATACTCAGTGCTCAATTTAAGGTTTTTTTTGGGGTTGTCCGGAGGAACAAGAGACCCAAAGGGTTGTCCCTCAGAAGTTTTGGTTGTCCGGATATTATTTAAACATGTGCTGCATGCGCTCTGCTCACGTGATGTCTCAGTGCTGTAAAGCTAAAGGCCTAATCATGTACATTTTGTACGTATTGCAGTGACAGCAGACATGGCGCATTCGCATTGTTTCACTCATTATATGAAGATAATAAAAATTGGTAATGTGTAAATGATGCTGGGATCAATGACGTATAATAATAGTAATTAAAAGTTGCATAAAATTTATTTCATACATTTACATTAACTACTAACATTACACTACTAACATTACTAACATTACTAAACTGTGTCAAGTCACAGATGAGCAAAAATTGAAAATTAACACGAAACATTGTGTTGTTAAACACGTAATGTTTATCTTTGTATCAAGCAACGCCAGACAATGCGTCTAGACACTGTACTTGTGTGCAGCGTACTGTGGCAACCCTGGCCTGTATGTAAAATGAACGCGGCGCATTATGAATATAACATTTTTATAGAGGTTGGACACCGGACAACCACGGAAGCAATTTGTAGTTGCCGAGAGAAAATCAAGTCGTCATTCAGGACGACCGGACGACTGTTAAAGCCGCACAATGCGCATCCAAACGCTAATTTCTTCAGTACTAGACTAGCAAATACTTCGTGTCATGCATATCATACTACCTTATGGCAAAATAAACTCTAGTTCCTTCCCATTTGACTGCGCGTGTCCCAACAAGAAAGAGTGCGAAATCAGTAATCAGGCGCCAACGCTAACTTGTTTTCAAAAACATAACATCGAAGTGGTGACGTGACGTCAGATGTTTTTATCTTTGCTGCGCCCGTACGCGGTGTACCGCGGCACCGCTGCACGGTTGCTTGAGAGACGGGAACTGTCAACAACATCGGAGGTATTTTTCAAAATACCTTTTATAAGACAACGGCAGTGAAATGGGAGGAAACTAGAGTTTATTTTGCCATAAGGTAGTATGTATTATGCATGACACGAAGTATTTGCTAGTCTAGTACTGAAGAAATTAGCGTTTGGATGCGCATTGTGCGGCTTTAAAATTGAGCCCTGCTTACTGCCACCCACAGCCACAGTATCTTGTATCTTTTTGTATCTTGGCGCCCTCTCTTGTATTTCACAAGGCACCCAAATCAACGGGTGCGGGGATTATCTAGAAAACAAAGGGATAAACGTCGCCTCTAATTCTCTAAATGTGAATGTCACGAATCGCCAGAATTTTCTTTACATATTCTAATGCTGGTTTTAATATTCCATGGCTGTCCCTTTTCCAGTTATCTATTTGTTGTCCCTCCTTATATATTTCATAACTATCACAATTATATAAATGTTTCATATCTTCTTTCATATCCTTATTACATCTATTATACTTATCATTGCTAAAATTATTTTTAAAGTATCCTTTTAGATCAATCATGAACACGAATTTGGTAATGAATTTGGTAACGAATTTGGTAATCCTTTTAGATCAATCATTACACGAATCGGTAAATGATAATTCTTTCATATATTCCTTCAATCCGTATGTTTCAATGTTTATCATATTCATTTTTGTTTTGCCTCTAGTTTTCAATTTGTCTCTTTTAATTACTCGTTTTAGTATGGCATCTTTAACTTGTTTTTTCCAGGCTCTTTGGTTTTAATCCTATGGCTGTAAATGAGATTTCTAGTTCGTACTCCTCTAGGATTATTAATATTTCATTTCCCCAGTTTATATGCTCTGGCTTTAGTTGATTTAAGTGCTCTGCTTTAGCTGGGGCTTTAGTGCGCTGCGAGCCCTCCGATTGGTCGGTGAAGGATACGCTATCCAAGCGAGTGTACACTATATATACAGAGATATATACACAGGCACTTGAAGCGTTTCAATAAAATATGCTAACTAAATACGAAATCTATTTACTACCAAATTCTTAATGTTTCTATATAACTCTCTTTCACCTATTATTGCCGACAGTTTCCTGTCAATTCCGTCCAAATCCTACGGGCAACCATATTCGCTTCCCGCACCATTGCTCTCGCGGCTCCACTGTTGCACTAATATATATAGTTTACACTCGCTTGGATAGCGTATCCTTCACCGACCAATCGGAGGGCTCGCAGCGCACTAAAGCCAAAGCTAAAGCAGATCACTTAAATCAACTAAAGCCAGAGCATATAAACAGAGCTAAAGCTGACCGAAGTTTGCCGATCGCTATGAACATTGGGAAAGCCAGCGTCACAGGTTACTAGAAATGGCGCTCGAAATATCGGCGCTCGTCGCTTCGAAATTTTGTAACCGGTTATATTAGTTTAATACAGAGTATTGTGATACATAGTAAGTCCCAGGATAGCGGAGAAAGGTTCGTGTTTAGAATATACCCAGTTTGGAAGTTCTAGTCTCGAAAAACGCACCATAAAACCGCCCTGAGTGAATCACTCTCGGGGGGGGGGGGCTCCTCCAAAGAAAATAATAGGCTCGCGTTGTAACCCTACTCTTGTTGGGTTACATTATTGTATCTAAGATTACCCCAGTCTGAATTTACCCTCCTGCCAGACTAATCTCAGACTGTGGTCGCGGCAGTCTCATTATCCAGCGCTACTGCGCATGCCTTATACGCATGCGCACGAGGTGCTGGGGGTAATTTCAGACTGGGGTAATCTCAGACCGTGACACCGGTATAAGTACATGCACAATAAATAATTAATACTAACAGTATAACATTAAAGGGATAGTAGACTCTAAGATTTTACTGCATATGCTGTATTTACTGTATAACAAAACCCACACGTATTTGTTACCAGATACCTAATTTGATTGTTATAATTAATTGCACATCAACGCTACGAAATTTGAACGGCGCCATGACACCCGCGACCGTGCTGCAACCCTGAAAAAGTTGCGTATTTGCCAATTTATTTTGCACGTTACAGACCGAGGGCTAATCACAAAGGTGCAATTATATTCATACCTAAATGCTATTTAACCGAACGATGTTTATTTTAGCACAAATTTATCCATAATATAACTGAAACTATATGTCGTTTATAAGATATTACAATCCTTTTGCTTTTAAATTAATAAATAAGAAACACCCTCGGTCTGTAGCCCTTGGCTGGAAAGTGGTTTTGAGCAACTTATCAGATCGTGCGCTTTGAGTGGCGCCACCATCGTTGTAATCAAACTGTAGTCGTTAGTTTTAAAACATTTTTTAATATTTCTAATGGTGATTGAACCATGAAACTTTCTATGTAGCGTAATTTTAAGCTAAATTAACTGAAAATAACCCTAGAACCTAGAGTAAACTATCCCTTTAAGTAACGGTAAACACCAAAATTGTTGGCAACAACAGTGTGCGTCAGTAAATGTAATATCAGTAACATACTATAGTATTAGATGCAGAGAGCGCATTAAAGTGTTGTTGTTGTTGCGTTGGTGGTTTTAGCTGGTGGTGCCTGGTGGTGGTGGTGTTGTCTGTTGACTGTTGACAATCCGACCAGCAGTGCAAAGCTGCAAAACTGGATTAATATTGACTTCTTCTTCTATTCCGCACAGTTCCTTGGAGTCCATTCCGTCTTCGATATATATATATAGTCCTTTGGACTTTGAAGACTATTACTTACGCTGATAGGGTCTATGTCCCCCAGGGCAGTGCCGGAACGTACCCTGGGTATGGTCCAGTATACCGGAACGTACCCTGGTACTAAATACTACTACTATCTAATATACCGGACCTCGCCTACTCCACTAACGAGTCTAGGGAGTCGCCTACTCCTACTCACTCGTTATGTGTATTCGTTAACGGTTTCTAGACTTAGCCTCCCTAGTTTGAAGTTTACATCCTAATATTCCACTTTATTTTTATTAAAAATCATGACTTGAGACTTGTCTTCGCCGTATATCAATTTGTAGTCTTCTGCAAAGCCTGCCGCCACATCTAGTAATTTCTGCAGTTCTCTTTTATTATCTGCTATGAAGACCACATCATCAGTATACAGCATCCCTGTGGTTCTTTCCCTCCCTACACCTAGTTCTTCATTTTTTCTTTCTAGTCTATGAGATATATCTATCAAAGAGCAACGGTGATAGTAAGCATCCTTGTTTGACCCCTCTCGTGGATTTAACTCAACCTGAATCGTGATTCATATGGGCCTAGGCTAGCCTTAGACTCATTTACCTCGTACATGGCCTATATTAGCCTCTCTAGTACATGCTCTCTAGTAATGCTCATAGGGTCTATGTCCCCCAGGGTACTGCAGGAAGGTACCCTGGTAACTATCTAGCTGATATGGTTAGGGTTTAGGAATTAAAATAAACAACAACATAGAAAACTGTGTCGAACTACATGAGGGTAAAGTGCGAGTAAAGGCAAGGAAATACCGAGGGATAATAGCAACGAAAGCATACTATAGCTGCAGCAGTTACTGGGTAGGGAGAGAACTGTGGAAGACAGTAGCAGTACCTGCCCTAACCTATGGAAATGACATAATCATATATAAGGATAAGCAAAAAGGAACAGGCGCTCTCAAAGCCCTTGAAAATACCCAAAACTAACTTGGCAGGAAATTGTAAGGTGCCCACCTTACGCGGGTATTGAAACAATAAGGGGGGAGCTTGGATGGTCCAC